TGCTGAAAACAAAAGATGAGGCAGTGAGTTGTCTAGTATAAGGCAGAAGCTGAGAATATCACTGGAAATCATATTAAGGTGCTAAGGTCAGACAGAGGAGGGGAGTTCCTCGCGGGTGCATTTCAGGATGTATGTGAAAAGGCTGGAATTAGGCACCATTTTACAGCTCCATACTCACCACAACAGAATGGAGTGGTTGAGAGAAAAAATAGAACTGTAATGGAGATGGCAAGAGCATTACTGAAAAAGCATGAGAGTTCCAGGGAAATTTTGGGCAGACGCAGTCAGGCATTCAGTGTACTTGATCAATAGATTGCCAACCAAAGCAATGGGTGATAGAACTCTTTATTAAGCTTGGAATGGCAGGAAGCCTCACCTTGGTTACCTGAGGATATTTGGGTGCAAGTGCCATGTCAGACCAGGAGTGTCTCATTTGAAGAAACTTGTTGATAGAAGTGAGCCAATTTATTTTGGCATTGAAGATGACAGCAAAGCTCACAGAATGTATAACCCTCAGAGCAACAAGGTTGTGGTTAGCAGAGATATTGTGTTTGAGGAAACAGTTAAGTGGAGATGGGATGCTGCAGAAACAGAAGATTTTTCTGTGGAGGTGGAAAATGGTCAATTTTTCCCTCAAATTGTTACAACAGGTGTTGTAGATGGAAATATTCATGATGATCATCAGTTGAGTGACTCAAGGGGAGCACATAGTAGTGGACATCACTCAGTTGCAGGTGGAGCTACTGAATTTGCAAGAGCAGGGAGTAACTCAGGTACTGTTCACAGTCCAGCAACAGCATTGCAGATTGAAACACTACATAACTCTGGCTAGGGCTCAGGCTGGAATCATGATTTGATGGAAGTGGATAACAATGATGATTATGATGAGACACCATAGAGATTTAGAAGCCTAAATGAGGTCTATCAAGAAACAGCTGAGGTAGAGCTTGAATCAGATGCAGAAGATGTAGTGGAGGTAATTGCATTGCTTGCTGTGATGGAAGAACCTTCATGTTTCAGTGAAGCAGTAACAAATCCAGATTGGGTGCAGGCCATGGATAGTGAAATGCAGTCAATTTGTAAGAATGGAACATGGGAGCTGGCTACTTTGCCACCTGGGTAGAAGCCAATTGGGCTTAAATGGGTATATAAGCTCAAGAGAAATTCAGATGGTGAAGTAGTAAAACACAAAGCCAGGCTGATGGCTAAGGGGTACGTACAAAAACAAGGTGTTGATTTTGATGAAGTATTTGCACCAATTGCAAGACTTTGACACAATTAGATTAATCTTGGCACTAGCAACAAATAAGGGTTGGCAAGTTCATCACTTTGATAAATCCTAGGCGTATTTAGAAACATTTAAATTCATTTTTCAACCATAAGACATTATGCAATGGCATGAAATGCAACATACAATTAAATTGTATTCCAAAAAATTTAGAAATTCATATTTTTCTACTATCTAAAATGTCAACAACTAAACTAAAGTTGGGAAAATTTTAGAAAAATGATAAAATCATTTATTGTTATTTAGTGTTTTCTAAGTCACATCCCAAAATGGAAATTTTGGGGTGTGACAGCAGCAATCCATCTTCATGCATCTTCGTCAACATCTCCTCCTTTACTGTTGATTCTTCACATATCTGCATCTCCGCGGCATATGGATCTGCCCTGTTCATCTGCTTCTTGCCTCCCTTCGATGCGGGAGTGGCGGCGGTGGCGGCGACTTTCTTTGACTTCACCATCTTTCATGTTGTCACCAATTTTTTCACTTGTATTCACTTAATGGTGGCTAGAGCTGGAGGAAACGAGTGTTGATGGTGGATGTTAGGGTTCGTGGTGTGAGTATAGGCAAGAGTACTGGCGGTGGCAGTGTGAGTGAAAGGGGTGAAACCTCTTTGGATCTTTGATGTGTATGTAGCTGAACCCTAAGCTTAAGTTATATAAACTTTTGTTACATCCCTTTCTTGACATCATGAATTTATATTTTGACTTTCATCTTTTCATCATATTAGCTGTTGTAATTTTTTTATTCATGTGTTAGGTCAAAGTTCATGTGCTTATTTTATCATTTATTTAAAAATTTTCTTTTGTATTTTATTAAAAAATATTCTAAGTTCTAGACTACACTCTTAACTACTATAATAATATAAATAGTCATCCCAGCCTATGCCGTGGCACTTGAGTTGTTGAATTTGTAATATCAAAAACCTATATGTGTAGTAGTATGTTTGATAAAAACATAGATAAAATGTCCTTGTTTGGTTTTGGTAATTGAGTGACCACCTAGGTGGACTAATTGTGTTTAATGTGAGATACACAAGTGATTAGTCCATAGGTACATGTGTGTGAGCAACATATGCCATAGAGGTGAAATGGCTTGGAGATGTTGTAAAGCTCACACATGTGATGAAGGAGCTTATTGCATATGAGACATGACATGGAGTCATGTGATCAAGGTGGAGAAGATCAAGACATAACTTGGCTTGATGGACCGGTTATAAGCGTGAAGGGCAAATTCGAAGCTTTGGAGCGATGGACCGCATGGCGGTGAAGCTCGAGCAAGACTTGGCGCCGATGGACGAAGGCAACAGTGAAAAGTAAGTGAGGTCAAGATCGATGGACCAACAAGGTCATGTGATGATATGAAGTGGATCATATCATTTGGTGATTGGTTTGTACATGTGTTGCATCATCGATGGAGGAGATGGAATGGAATGTGCAAGGCAAAGGTATAACCCAGGACATTTTATTTCATCGGTCATAGGTGTGTAGAGAAGTAGATGACCGGATTTAGGATAGATGATTGTACTATTAAGAGGAGCAAACTTGTTTGCATATCGGTCATCTAGTGCCACTTGAGCGATCTAACCTTGCATACATGTTAGGATCGAGTGGCGTGGTGAATTGAGTGACTAATCCTTAAGGAAATGTTTGTGAAAAGCTAACACACGTGTACATGGTGGAGTACACTTGGTAGTGTTAGCACATTTGCAAAGGTGAAGAAGTTGGTGAAGAAGAGGAGGTGAAACCGGGCTCTCGAGGTGCTGACTGGGTGGCAGCGCCACCCCATGTCCAGTGCACCGCCACCCTAGTGGCTGTGACCGACTACAGAAGGCTAAGAGCAGTGTGTTGGGGTTGGCACCGCCCTACCATGTCCGGTGGCACCGCCACCCCTAGGGCGGTGGCCATCTGACCTCGGTTTAGAGCAGGAGAGAAAGGACGGTCACCGCCTTGACCGGTGTGCACAGCCGTGGGATGGTGGTGGATCCACCAGGGGTTGTCTAGTGCCACCGCCCCTTTATTCCTGAGAGCAGCCGAGTGGGCTTGGTCACCGGATAGGGCATCGCCACCCTGCGTCCGGTGCCACCGCCACTATTTTCTAGAGAGGTGGTATTTCGGGTGACTGGCTGGGTGGTCACCGCCCTCCCTAGGGTGGTGCCACCACCACTGTGTCCGGTGCCCCTACGCTAGTCAAACTAGCTGTTGGGGTGACCGTTGGGGGGCACCGCCACCCCTAGGGCGGTGCCACCACCGCCATGTCTGATGCCCTCGCAGAAAGTGCAGCTTTGCTCCAACGTCTCTATTTGGCTTGGGGGCTATAGATAGAGGTGGAACTCGGTCATTTAGCTAGTTGAGCACTCTTGGGACGAAGTGTCCATGCTTGGGGAGTGCTTGGGAGCCCTCTAACTCACTTGTGCTTGATAGTGATCATCCGATCGAGTGAGTGAGCGATTCTAGTGCCATTGCATCGTGAGATTACATCGAGTGGCACTAGGTGATCGAGTTGTAAGCTGGTGGTGCTTGTTACTCTTAGAGGTTGCCACCTCCTAGACAGCTTGGTGGCTTGTGACTCTATTGAAGCACGCGGATGATTGTGCGGTGCTCCGGAGGAGGATTTGTGAGGGGGATTGTGCTCACCCCGCGGGGATAGCGAAGAGCAACTCTAGTTGAGCGTGTCATTGAGCTACCCTCACTTTCGGGGTAGGTTGTTGTGGTGCCTGACGTGCAGGCTTGGCGGGTGATGCCAATTAGCCGCCGAACCACCAAGTGAGCGATCGACACAATGGGGACTAGTGTGTTGGCAAGCACGTGAACCTCAGGATAGAATCATCGTGTCATACTTGTCTTCCCGTTGGTTTACAATCCCTTTAAACAAACTTGTAATTACTTTCATATACATTGTGCTTGTGTAGTTGCTCTTATAATTAGGTAGCTTGTGTAGCTTGCTATTTACCTTCTTGCTTGTGTTGCTCCCTTGCACAACTAATTTGGCTTGAGTAGGCTTGTTAGTTGCATTGCTTAGTTTATGTAGCTAAGTAATTTGGGCTCTCTAATTTGGCTTGTGCAGCCTTATTATTCAGCATTGCTAGTGAAATTAGGAGCTTTGTGCGCTTTGCATCACTAGTTGTTTAGGAGCTCCCCCGGTTGCTTGAAGTACTAGTTGCATAGGTTTATGTGACTTTGCAAGCTAAAATTGTTAGGTGAGCTCTAACTAGCCTGGCACCTTTGTTGCCTAATTAAGATCTTTATAAGGTCCTTGTGAACTTAGAGAGAGAGGTGTAGTTTTTGCTAGATCGTTAGTTTTAATTCCGCATTTATCTCAGTTAGCTGACGCGTTTAATTTTAGAAAGAACTATTCACCCCTAGTCCGCCATCTCGACCCTACAATAGAATATTTAAAATTAAATTAGCAGTATGATATGGCATACTGTTTATGTCAAAATATATATAAACTTATCTCAACAACAACTTACAAAATTTATTGTCATGGCATATTTATATAGTTTAAAGTGAATTGTCAATATCATTTGCTAATATATAATAAGCAAACACATAATCAACATATCTGCAGCACTGTAATTCTAGGCAAAATTAACTAAACACACTTATATATTGTACTTTGTACATATACTAATATACACCCCCAAACCGCGCGCAAAAGAAAAAAAGCCAAAAAGAACTCTATATTATGATTTACAAACAGCGCCATGATCATGTCAGAAATCTTGGCAGCTATGCCAAGTCCTAACTACATCTCCTAGCTCATGTCTCAGCTCTTCCCAACCGAACCCTTGTCCCTCGCCGTCGCCGTCTCCGTCGGCCACCTCAAGCCGCAGCTCGACGAGCATCAGTGGTGGTGCCAGCTCTGACATCTCAACCGTCATCGCCGCCAGCCCTGGCAGGCCCCCCAGCGTCAGGCACTCCACTCCGTTCTTACCTACCATTACATACCCGAGCTTCCCGCCGGCGCGGCCGAGCTCCTCCAGGGTACGCTCCGGTGATGCCGCTGTCATGAACCTAATCTCTCGGTTCCGCTGGTCGAACAAGCCGGACAGATCGAGCCCAGACGACATGGAGATGATGTCGAAGGCGTTCATGGCCGGCGCCTGGAACGCTAGCGCGCTCTCCTGCTGGCCGTTGAGCAGCCCACCGAGCTGCGAGTCGAGGCTGAGGGAGCGCTTAAACCACGGCTGCGTAGTCAGCGTCGCGAGGGCAACGCGGGTGGCCGGGTTTGGATCGAGCAGGCGGCTCACCAGCCGGCGCGCCGGCTGCGACACCCACTCCGGGAACTCGAACTCCCGGCGATGCGCCTTCCGGCACATGTCGGTGATGTTGGAGTCGTCGAAGGGGAGGTGTCCGGCGAGGAGGACGAAGAGGATGACGCCGCAGGACCACGCGTCGGCCTTGGCCCCGTCGTAGGCCTTGCGGCGGAGCACTTCTGGCGCCGCGTAGGCCGGGGTGCCGCAGGCCGTGTCGAGGCGGCCGTCGTCGCGGAGCGAGTCCGGGAGCGCAGAGAGGCCGAAGTCGGAGACCTTGAGGTTGCCGTTGCCGTCGAGGAGGACGTTCTGAGGCTTGACGTCGCGGTGCGCGACGCCGCGAGCGTGGCAGTAGGAGAGCGCGGCGATGAGCTGCACGAAGATGCGGCGCGCAGTGTGCCCCGGGAGGCGGTGCCGCGGGAGCGCGGCGAGCCTGGACAGCAGGTCCCCGCCCGTCGCGAGCTCCATGACGAGGTAGATCTTGGCGCGCGTGGCAAGCACCTCGTGGAGGCGGAGCACGTTGGGGTGGCGCAGCCGGCGCATGGCCGTCACCTCCCGGAGCACGCGCGGCGCCATGCCCGCCGTGCCCATGACCTCGGCCTTGTCGAGAACCTTCACCGCCACGGCCTCGCCGCCGGCGACCGGCCGCGCGAGGTAGACCTTGGCGAACGTCCCTCGTCCCAGCAAGCTACCCAGCTCGTACTTGCCAAGCAGGCTCTTGCTCTTCTTGTTGGTCCCCTTGCTCTTGCTGTCCATGGCGTCCATGGGCGACAGCAACAACGAGGCAAGCAGAGCACCGCAAGGTTGGCGCTCGTCTTAGTGTTATGGCAATGAGTTGGGCGACGGCATTAGGTGAAAATATATGTTGGGTTGGTGCCGTTTTATATGGCGATGAGTTGGGTATGAAAATCCCTTTTTGTTTCTAAATTCGATAACTGGGGTTTGATTAACCATGATTAGCATTTCTAATCGGGTTCGAATGCAAATATACAAGAGAAAAGAAAGTAAGTGATTAGAGTGATTTAGAATTAGTCTAGGATTCCTGATGCAAAATTGTCTTCTACTATAGTTTAGGAGAGTGATTTTAGAAACTGTTGGAGAAACCCAACAAATATGCCTCCAACATTTTTAGCCACTTGTAAATCTCATTGATTTACAAATTATTCTTTTGAAAACAATTGGAGATGCTCTAATAAGTAATAATATACTCGGCGGGGTTTGATTATATTAACCATGATTAGAAATTGGGCTCCTTGTGAGGGAACATGTCTACCCGGTTGGTTTAACTCCTCGATTGATGTGGCTGCTCATATTTTATTGGATTTATTCTTGATTTCTTCGCTATTCCTTCATAAGCGACATACCTATCTGAGTGTAACGCTTATTATGACCTCGACAATCTTGAGATCTGTCGGCTTTGTCTTTTGAAGATGCTCATAGAGATTAGGTGTGCATGTATATATTCATAAGGGGTAAAGTGCATGCATACCTGAATGTCTATATTTATACTGTGATTCACGAAAAGAAAAGGAAAATCAAACACATGTTTCTGTTTTAACAGTATGGTGTCCATGAATCCAAGTTGCCGATGTTTGTAGCTAGAGTCATCAACAAATTCCATCTTTGGTTGATTTATTAATATAACAACTTTCCAAAGGATAACTATATTTAAAGAAAACACATTAGGGACACACACATGCTCTCTTAGACACTCCTTCGAGTAACAGTGGAAATGGATATGAAGCTGTCTGAAATTTATTATTCATATATTTCCCACATCCATTTCAGGTATGAAAATAAAATGGACATCTCTGAATTCATTTTTCATTAGCTGACTTTGGATCTATATACAAAATAAACGTAGGATTGATATTCAATATTATCCAAATTTGTATAGAATAAATAAACTATGTAAACCATGATGTAAAAATATTATTTGATTTAGCTTAAAATAGTATATTTATTGATGTAAATGTTTTCAAATACCTTAATTCATTTGTAACTTGTATGTACGTTTATTTATTTATTATCGATATAGATATTTAATTACTTAAAGACTCATTTATTGCTATACTATTTATTGAGATATTTGTTTCTAAATATGTTATTTTCTATGAATGATCTTTGCCTACATGTATTATACTTATAGTGTCATATTTATTCTTTACTTTTGCATTTTATATATATGTGATTATTCCATTCTTCGAAACCATAAAGCATCTATCACCCAAATTGAGTACATATCTAAATGTATATTTGAATTTGAACTACTTGATTTATATTTATTTGTATTCGAGAATATTCCTAGTATTCGAATCAAAATAAAGAAAATACAACTATCTGAATCCATATCTGACCATATTCATTCAATTTGGTTTGTCCCTATCTTGGAGAGACTATGCTAATTGATCTTGAGATTAACAAAGTTACTACAAGCACCTTATGGTCACCGGGCATGTCGCCTACTAGTCAATGAATAACATCATATTCCTTACTCAAATAAATCCAAAAAATACGAGCACCTATGTATGAAACCGATCTAGAACTTGAACCCATGAAGGTAGGTTTCCGCCCCACTCTTTGGAGAAGGGTTCATATATGCCATGTATTTAGATATAATGTTCAAGTAATTAAATTTCTTTTCTTTATATGCATGGTGCAATTAGAAGCTTCTAGATCTCATCATGTTTTTGAAAGTTTTTTCAGAAGAACGACCAAAGGGTGCCTCATATCTAAATAGCTAGTAGAAAAGAGAGATAGCTTAACACAAAATGATCTCTAAAAATAAAAATTCAAAAGAGACACCTTAACATACTACTATAGAATCTTCATTGTTGCCGGTTCCAAACCCCACATCACCACCGGTTTGGCCCCTCGGCGGTAAAAGTTGTTGGTGATAAGAATGATCATCACCGGTGGTTGGGATAGTTATCATCGTTGGTTCGTGTTACCAGCCAGCGGTGATTAGAATTTCTAAAAATTCTAAAATCGGAAAAAAACAACAAAAAAAATACCCTTTAATCCCGATGAACCCCACCAGCTAACTTCACTTTTTAGGATTTCAAAATGAATATTTGGAGCTCTAAATGACTTTAAATGAAAATGTCATAAGCTACAAAGTTGTAGTTCTCATTGAGATCCATAAATTTAGTTTCGACCGTTCCTCCATCTGATGTCATTTGACAAATTTGAATTTAAAATTGTGAGAACTTAAAACATAATTTTAGCACTACAAATGAGTTCAAATGAAAAAGTCATCAACTACAAAATTTTAGTTCTCATCGACATCTACAACTTTGGTATTGTTCGTTTTCCCATCCGAGATCTTTTGAAAATTTTAAATTTTGAATTGGGAGAACCTGAAAAATGATTTATTAACCGCAAATATTTCAAATGAGAAAGTCATCAACTACAAAGTTGTAGTTCTGTAGCACCCTAAAATTTTCAATTTTGGGTTGTGCATAGAAAACACTAAATAAAATAAATGATTTCAATGTTGATATAAATTTTCTCAAGATTAGTTTAAGTTTATGCATATTTAGATGAAAAAATCCATTTTTTCTAAACTAATTTAGCGGGCTTTGCTTGATGTTTGCTTGTTGCATGACTTCACGTTGTGAGCGAGTAAAGTTTTCAAAATGCATTTAGTAGGTCAATCTTCCTTCTACGGCACGTCTTTATCTTTTTTAGAAAATCAAATTCCTTGTTTCTCAGCTTAAGCTTTTGTTTGGAGCTTCTCAAAATCTTTTCTTTATAACCCAAATCACTCCTTTGAGTTCCTTTTTCATCAATCAATCTCTAAAAACTTACTGGGACTTATTTCAGCTTTTTCTGGAACTTGTTCCCATTTTCCTGTGAGCATAAGCTAATTTTTAAATGCTCCAAAATATCTTTTCATGAGCTTCGAATATTTTATTTTAGTTCCTCATGTTCCAAAATGTCTTTGGAAAATTTCTCTGAATTTTTGGACCTTTCGGAGTATTTTTTATGGCTCAAATAATAATTCTAGAATTTCTGGGATTATTTTTTATTCACGAAATTAATTAATTCCGGGAATAATAAATCCTGATGCAACTCGTCCCAAACCCCATGTATATATATACATCGACGCGTTCGTCTCGACGATCTCGTTGCAGATCGTGTCTCCGTTTTTCCAATCTCATCTCGTAACTCATACATCTAAGGTCAAAGTTCGACGTTCGCTGAAACTCTGGCAAGCTTTTCCAGCAAACTCGATGCGTTTCGGCGAAACCCAACACCGCCACGAGGTTCATCTCGTCGTTCTCTACGCTATAGTGTCCTGACCCCGTTTGACTGTTTCCCATTCGTTTTCTCTTTTCCGGCGAGCTCACCATGGACGCCCATCTTCTTCTTGTTTTCCGGCTATCTCCGCTCGCGGTCGCGACCCTCCTGGCCAGATGCTCCTGCAGGCCCCAGACCGCCGCCGCCCGGACTCCTCCCTAACGCCCCGCGCGTGCCTGCAAGGCCGCGGGATGCAGCAGCAGCTGCTGCATGTCGGCAGAGTGCCGCCCGACCGGTCCTGCTCCCTCTCCCCGCGTGCACGGGCCGGGTGCGCCCCACCGCACCGCGGCCATCGGCCGGCAAAGGTCCCCAGGCCAAGGCCCCTGCTCCCCTACGCGTACCGGCCCAGCCGGCTCCCACCATGGCTGGCCATGGAGGCCACGTACGTTCTGCACATCTGTTCCAAGAAGGAAGACGACGAATTTACAGAATTGCCACTTGTTCGTAATCTCTGCCGTTTGATCATCTAATTCCGATTCGGTACGTTTAGATTGCGTTAGTTTTGTGTCAGCGCGCTCTACGCAGTAGTGCCAATGTTTTTCGCGTCACATGTTTTTTCCACATATAGCTTGATTAATATGCTTGTAATTAGTTTTATAATTAAAAGCAAAATAGGGTGTTAACTTTGGTCTTCTATAAATTTGATGTTAACTTAGAGTAGTATTAACATTAATGTTTTTAAATTTATAATTTGTGTAGTTAAACACGGAACATATAATGATCCACTTAGTTGCTCTCGCATGCACTTTTCTTTTACGAGGTTAAAGTTTAATTTGATAAAATCATAAATGCATGTTTATAAATGAAAATATGATTAGTTAACTTGGCTTTTAAAATTAAAATATAATTTGACTAATCTGAATTAGAAGGTTCCACATGGTTTTTCTTAATTAAAACAAATCAAGCATGTAGGCTTTTCTTTTATAATACAAAACTTCCGGTAGACATTTATTTTTAATCGTAGTTTCATTATCGGCGTTCCTTGTGATCTCGTGACCATAACAATAGCTCTCTTTTAGTACGTTGTTTTAAAGCTTTTGCTATGATTGGTGTAATGTGCTTAGCTGTCTTTGTTTTATCTGTTTGTATGTTCTTTGTGCTTGGTGTTTGCTACGAGTAGAAGAGAACCGTTTGTGAGCGATGGAGATCAGAAGGTGATGACCAGAAGCAAAGTATGAGAAAGTTTGAGCAAGTGTAAAAAGTATGAGTAAGTTTGAGCAAGTGTAAAAGGCAAGTATAATATGTGGCTTTCCTTGGTACCTAATAACCTTATGTCACTAAATTCATACTTGCATTTGTCCAATTTGATCTACCACTAAGGACTTGCGTAGATGTTGTTATCCTGATCTTTAATACCTATGGTTCATGCATATGGGTAGTTTTACTAGTTGCTCTACTTTAATGAAGAAGGTCTTTAATATTAACTAATGGCAAATGCAATGATGCTTAAAATGTGCTTTTTA